GTATGGAACCAACCACAGAACACTCAAAAAATCAACTCAGAATGATTCAAAGACTTAATGTAAGACCTGGAATTATGAGACTATGAGAAGAAATCACAAGGGCAGAGCTTCGTGACATTGGCCTTGAATTTTTATCTATCCCTGATTCAATTCCAATTTATACTGATAATCCCGGACCATGTTTTGAGAAATCACTACCTTAGAAAATCTTACCTGTGGTTGATTTAGTGTCTTGGGGGAAATGAAGACCAGGATTTTAAGGCCTTGAAACTTCTCCTAGGATGAGATTATTTCCTCTTTGATGAGTTCTAGGTAGACTGTCTTGAAGGGCAGTTTTGTTTTATTTTTTCTGTAAATTAACCTTTTGATCAAATATAAGAAATTGAAAAGATTGTCTACCAAATAAAATCTGTATGTAATATAATTTCTAATTTTTTTCCTTTAAAACATTTATTGGGGCATCACTCAAAATTTTAAGTAAGGCTGGAAGTTGAAATTGGCTGTTTCTCTTTAACTTTCACTCTTCATTAAAGTATAGTCTAGGTAATACAATGAGGTGAAAGATGTCTAGGCATTTTTTTTTTTAATGCTGCAACTATGGTCTATTATTTACTATTTGTGTGATCTCAGGTAAGTTGTTTAAATCATGACTTCCAGTTTCCTTAACTGTTAAAAAAGTATTGAGAGGAGTATGATAAGAGAGATAATGTGGAGAGTGTGTATCCCTGCCATATGGTAGATGCTTGCTTTGTGGTAGTGTGAGTATTTTAAGTTAATCATGTTTACTGTAGCTATAGAAATGAATTTTTCCTTTGGCTGCTTGATAATACTTTCACTTCTGTCCTGGGGATCAGAAGAATGGGATTCAGGTGCTCTTTTGCCACTGACCAACTGGGTAATCCTAGAAAGCAAACAGGTTTGATGGGCCTTAGTTTTATTATCTAAATAATATTTGACTTAAATATTACTCAGTGAAGAGTAAACTTGAAACACTTATTTCAAAAGAAGAAAATTGGACTTTGAATTTTAATACCTCCTTCCCTGGGGATGTAGCTTAGTGGTAAAACACCTCTGGGTTCAATCCCCAGTTAAAAAAAATTCAAGCGATTTGTTCCTTAAAAGACAACTGGAATAAAGTGAAAAGAAGATATTTGTAACTCACGTGCATGTGTATGTGTGTGTGTGTGTGTGTGTGGGGGGGCTCTTACAAATACTTAACAAAGAAAATAAATAGTCAATAAATAAATGAAAAGGTGATCTATCTTATGAGCAATCAGGAAGGATTAATTAAAACAACAGTAAAATGCCAGTACATTCCTGCTAGACTGGCTAACATTAAAAAGATTGGCATTGTCAAGTGAAGGCAAGGATGTGAAGCTGTCAGAGTTGTTGTACAACTYTGTGGGTATGTCAGTTACACCATCACTTTAAAAACTGTTCAACCTTTTCTACTGAGGGTTAATATATATATAGTTTCTCCTCTGTATGTACATGGGTTCTGAATCTGTGGATTCAACCAATAATGGATCAGAAATACTTGAAAAAATATGTCTGGACTTTTTGTATGGACTTTTTTCTTGTCATTATTTTCTGAACAATACAGTATAACAACTATTTCCATAACATTTATATTATATTAGGTACTATAAGTAATCTAAAGATGATTTAAAGTATATAGGAGGGTGTGTGGAAGTTAAATGCTAGGTCATTTACATAAGGGACATGAACATATGTGGATTTTGATATGTGAAGGAGGTGTCCTGTAACCAGTCCTCTGAGACAACATACATATTCTGCAACTCAGAAATTTCCCTCCAAGATACACAGTCAAGAGAAGTATGCTAAATATTTATTGAAACACAGGTTATAACAATATCATTTTAATAGTAAAAACCTGGAAATAGCACAAATGTCCATCAAGGGTAAAATAAAATTTGTTAGTTGTGGTATACTTATTTGCATACCATATAAAAATGAAAATGAATGAAGTACAGCATAAATGAATCTCATAAACATACTCTTGAAGCAAAAAGCCAAACGTAATGAATGTACACTATATAATTTCATTTAGATAGCATTTAAAAACAGAAAAACTATCAGTAATGTTGGAAGTCAGGGTATTACTCTGATAGTTACCTTTGTGGATGAGGTGGAGGTAGTGATTGAGAGGAGTTTACAAGAAGGGGCCTGGGGTTCTATATTGCCCTAATTTTTTTTTTTCCCCTGGTGCTGGGGATTGAACCTAGGACGGATCTACCACTAAGCTATATTCCCAGCCCCTTTTTAATTTTTTTTTTTTTTTTTTAGAAACAGTCTTGCTAAGTTGCCTGGGCTGGCCTTGAACTGGCTCTCCTCCTGCCTTAGCCTTGCCAGTCACTGGGATTCCAGGCCTGTTTCACTGTGCCTGGCACCCTTATTGTTTAAAAATATCTGGGTGGTAGTTAAATTAGTATGTTTAGTTGCTTTAATTCTTTGTGTACTTATGTAAGTTTATACATGAATAAAAACGTTACAAAAATGAAATGAGAAAACTCTCCTGATACGAAGTGATTTCTAGGAAGTTTAAAAAAGGAAAACAAAACAAAACAGGAAGTATCACAGTATTTCTGTTATGCCAAGTTATGATTCAGTTTTTTGTATGCCACCTTTTTACTTCTATCTCTCAGGTCATCCTTGATTGATTATTTCCTCAGTCCTTGATATTCTCTTCTCCCTGTAACTCTTAGAGTATTAATCCACATCTCTATTTCTGGTCCCGATCCAAGCCTCAGCTTTTTACTTGTTTATTTCTAGCATTCTGGTGGAATAGTTCCTGTTTATTATTTATATCATGGTTTATACAGAGAGCAGCATGTCTAAAATTTCAAATAATATCTTTCTTCCTCCCTTATGTCCAAGTAAGCTACCATTCTATCTAATCTGTTTCTATCAATGGCTTTTACTCTTCTCTAAATTTGAAATATATTAGTTATTATTAAACCCAGTTTTCCACTGGAATTCACTGTACTAGACAATGCAAGTGTTGGTAACAATTTTTTTAGCATTGCAAAATTTTATTTCTGCTTACAAAATTACCTTGATAACCTACTGTTTAGAAAGCTGTAATAGGGTGTTGCTACTGTTTCCTTGTCTTTGCTCCCTTACCTGAAAATAGCATGTTGCTAAAATGTCAGTGAGAATAATGTTTCAAAATGATATAGAGACAATGTTTGCACTAGTGTATGAGTATACTAAAAACCACCCAGTAACTCCCCATGCCACCCAAAAAAAGAATGGATTTTATGGTCTTGAATTGTATTTCAATGAAGGCATTATTAGATATAAAAACAAAAATATCATTGACTCATTAATGGTGCCCTATCAGACTAAATAGTTTATCATCCAAAGCCATTCATTATATCCAGCCTCACCTTTCCTATCTAGTCCTATATAGTATGTCAGTATTCAGTCCCTCTGGATGGTCTTATCCCCTGGAAAATATCATTTTCATATTCTAATAAGTTCTTTTGTATCAAATATTAATAAATTTATGAAAATAGTCAAAACCACAGAAATTATTCCTACTTTAAAATTGAGGAAACTTGAATGGAGACAATATTCAGAGCCACAAGGTTAGTATTAGGAATCATTTCAACTTAATCTTCACTGAATATCTTTTATATTCTAGAAAGTTTTTCTTGCCATTGGTATATAGAGAGATATTCCAGTCCTCTGGTCCTTGAGTCAGAGTATTTACCTAAGATGCTTCTAGTGTCTCTCTGCCTTTTTGCCTTTGCTAGTCTTATTCCCATCTCTAGATTTTGTCACTGCTTATATTTTGTCCATGTTTTTGTTTTCCTTAAATTTTCTAACTTACTCTGAAGTATAAATTTTTCCTTATTGCCTTTTAAAACTTTCCTTTACTTTGCATTCCTGGAGACTGGTCCTATTTTCTCTATATAATTTTGTTTAGTTGGTTATGTGCATATTTTTCACCCTAGTTAATGTGAAAGCTTCTCAAGGGCATAAATATCCTTTCTCTCCCTCTTTCTTTCTCTCTCTCTTTTTCTCTCTCTCTCCCCCCCCCTCCCCCCCCTCTCTCATGTGTGTATACACACACACACATAGATAGATAGATAGATAGATAGACAGACTGACTGACTTTTTTTTTTTTTTTTGGTATTGAGGAATGAACTCTGGGGCACTTAACCACTGACTTATACCTCCAGCACCTTTTTTTTTTTTTGGACACCGTCTCATTGTATTGCTTAGGGCCTCACTTAAGTTGCTGAGATTGGTCTTGAATTTGCTATCCTCTCTCCTCAGCCTCCCGAGTCATTGGGATTGCAGGCATGTGCCACTACATCTGGTCATCTATAATTTTTAAAGTGCTATCTACAGTTTTTTTCCTTATTATGCCAGGATAGTTCTTAGTCCTTTGATTCTTAGTAAAATTATATTGAGTTGAATAGAAAACAAAGATGTTGTGTTGATCTTTGATCTGCTGACTGGTTGGGAAGAATAAACACAAAGGGCACATCTTCTGTATAGTGGTAAAACAATATATTATGAGTTGTGCAAAAATTTAAAACATTTTTAATTGAATGGGTAGGTTGAATTGTTTTGTTATACTATAACTGAAAACTTAAGAGTTAATTCTGATCTTTAGAAATTCTGTGTTCTTTGATGAACTGTCCTGTACTTGTATGTTTTTATTAGCTTTAAAGGTGAAGGTGAAATAATGAAAAGGCATTTTAATATGAGCTATTTAAAATGGAAGTGGCATTCTGGATTATTAGAAGATATTATTTATAGCAGGACTTTCTTTCCACTCAAGTATCTCATGTGTACTGTTGATTTCATGTCAGTTTAGATGGGTATCTTGGTCAGTTAATAGTCTTCTGGTATTCATGTATTCATGTTAAAGAGTCTTTGTCATTCTTGAATAATGATATAAGAATAAATATAAAATAAGTAAAGAAAATTTAAGCATCCTTAATTTTTTTTTATTGTTTTATAAGGCACAATTGGTGGATCTAAGATCTGAATTGACAGAGACCCAAGCAGAGAAAGTTGTATTGGAGAAAGAAGTGCATGATCAGCTTTTACAGTTGCACTCTGTTCAGCTTCAGCTTCATGCTAAAACTGGTCAAAGTGTTGATTCTGGTACCATTAAAGCAAAGCTGGTAAGTATTTAAAGAGTGACATGTATTTCAGAAGGTATAGAGGATAATTTTTAATTAGGCATTTCAATTATAAAACATCAAATGTGCTTGTTGTGGAAAATTTAGGATACAGGAAATACAGATTGTAATCATCTTTTTTGTCTACAATCTCACCATCAAGAGATAATTAATGATAATATCAATAACCATCTGATAGCTAGAATAGAATTTTTTCCTATTTAAAAATGTTTAAAAGAATTTGTGATTATTATATAGAAACAATTTTTTACTATATCAGGATTAAGTTCTGCAGCATATAATTAAAACCCCACTGACATTGGGATTATTCTTAAATAGTAGTTATTTTTCTCTCAAAAGAACTCTGAGTTGTTAGGGCAACTCTATCGATACAAGGACCCAGTTTCCCTCTTTTGTAGTGCTATGCCAGTTTTAGCTCATTGTTTCCATACTCAGGATTTCTTCTGTCTGCACTCCAGGCAGAAAGAAGGAAGAATCTTAAGGAAAGGACAAAAAGATGCTTTTCACCTGTGTTAATCTCTTTCAAGAATTTTTCATCAAATTCTCCGTAGTAATTTCAGCCGTCATCTCCCTGGCTATCCCTAGCTGCATGCCAGTTTCTTAGTTGGTTTCAAGGCCACTTTCAGTGCTGTTGGAGTTCTATTAATAAGGAAGGGGAAAGTGGAATTGGATGCCATAGCACATTGTCTTTGCAGGAATTTGTCATTCTTTTGCTTTTAGTTTATTATAAGCATCTTTTCCTGCTATTGAACTCTTTGCAATGTCTGCATGTTACTTCATTGTATGAATTTACTCTAATTCAATTTGTCTCTTAATTAATGGGAAAAAATTTGAAATCTCATTTTAATTTAACCTCATGTACTGTGTGTATGCTATGTACCAGACATTAACTCTGTGGAGACATAGTGATAAATAGACATACATAACTTTGGAGAGACAGAACATGTAGTGATGCTTGATATGATGAAAGTAATGTGTTTTGAAGTTTTAATTGTTTCCAGCTATTTTAATTGGTTTCTTGTACTGATATGTTAGAATTTATTTAAATGAATATATTCTAAAGTCCTTAAATTATGAAATTCTGTGAATTTAAGTTAGTAGTGGTTTATCTAACTGAATAAAGGTCAGATCATAACTGCTTCTTTGAGTTATTTGATAATAACATTGAAAAATAATCTACATATTTCACTAGGAAAGAATTTAACTGAAATTTTAATATTAGATTTGAAATATGGTACTATAGAGGAAAGAACACTGAACCAATTGTGTTTTATGTGTTTAATAAAACAAAAAATTTTAATTTAGTACTGTATGGTTATTATTGTTTATAGATTTGCAAATATATTTTTTCTTATGAACTTTACCCAAATGATATTCAGCATATAGAGATTTTCTTTATAATGATTATACCACTAGGTAAATTCATTTGTTTGATGGTTTTCTAATTCTAAAACTTTTTTCTTGTATCTTAAGTCTGTCCCCTCTATGGAGGAGCTGGTAAGTATGTTGTTTCTGTTTTGCTTTAATATGTCATGCTGAAGTGTTTCTTTTGTTTTATTTGCATAGTACATGTTGTCACTCTTTGTATTTGAAAACTATGTTAACAGTAGCAATTTTTAAATTTCAAATACCTGAAAAGTTCAATGGATGGCCAGTTGTACTTTTCTCACTGCATGTTGTTAAACTTTTTCTTTTGTTTGTGATTTATAGTCATTATTTGCAGAGCCCATCAGTGTTTGACAACCTGCATAGCCTGTGGCTTGTTCAGAACTCTACTTAAAAGAGTAATTGGTTTCCCCACACAAGGGTATTAAAAATATTTTGAGAAGCCTAGTATTTAGCCCTGTTAAGTTTCTATTTGAATTTATTCCCAGAAAAAGATGATGCATGTTGATTTCTTGGTTATCCACTGCATGTGTTACATTTTTTCAGCAGTCTTGAGAAAAATTGTGTGGCTTTTTAAACAATTAGATTTTGAAAATCTTTTACCAGAAATTAATTTGGAAATAACAAAGTATAAAATTTTTGTATCAACCTAATGAGGTTTTAGTTTATCTTATGACTTTACATCTTTTGAAAATTTATTCTTTGGATAACTAAATTTAAAAAAAAAATCTCTTGTTTATTACCTACTAACAAGCAGATTAAATTAAAAACCAGCAAAATTATCTTGAATTCTGAAAGTAATTACTTTCAGTTAACTTAATCTTATTCTTTTATCTATTAATTTCAGCTCTGAGTTTGTCAGATTCCTTAGGGGTTTGAATCATTAATGCAAAGTGGTAGTTAATGTTTCTCAGATTTCATTAATATAGTATAAATAGCTCATTAAAGTAATTGAAAGTCACTGTACACCAAAGAAATCTTGATATTTTACGAATATTTTTTCCTGAAAGGGCACCAACTTTAATAAATGTCATAAAACAATTTTTGTTCATGTTATTCAAACTGTCTTTATGTGGTGGGGGGGGGAAAGATACCTCCCCTTTTAGGAAATAAGTTCTGAAATAAATTGTGATGTTAATAATTCCAAATTTATTACAAAAGAGAATTTTAGATTATTATTTTTCATAATCTTTAAAAATAATGTGGACAGTCCCCAGTAGTGCAAAACAAACCAACAAAAAATATCTAGAGTTGTGTTCTAAAGGATATATATATATATATATATATTTTTTTTTACAGAAGTTAAAAAAGTTTGCTAATCTTCCTTATATCGTATATATAACAAATATTTTGAAACAAAATGATAAATGCATTCAGCATTTTGTAGTTTTCATTAATTTTAGCTTCTATGTGTGTGTATGTATATGTGTATTTGCTTAAAACATACACATTTTTAGGAAAATGTATTTTTTTAATATTATGATGTGCATGTTCCTTGAATTTTAATATATCATATTTTTTATGTTAGTCAAAACAGTAGACCAAAACAGACAATTGAAACAGTACCAAAATACATTCCAGGAATTGCTAAAAATTTGCTTAAATTTGTTTTTAGCATCTCAGTATTGAGAATAAAAATGGAAATAATTATGTAGTCTATGCCCATACAATAGAAACAATATCATTTGCCATTTCCTCAAAAGAAAGTTTTTTCCTGATACTAAGACAGATTTTTTTGAAGTTTTCATAAAAGAATGTGGTGGTATTAGTAAACAATGTCTTACACATCTGATGAGCATGTATCACCTTTTTGTAGCATTTGTGGATTCTGTAAATCAGAAGTCAGTAAAAGCAGTTTTGTTCAGGATAAGTGCAAGTTTTTGGGTGGTTTTCTTCATTCTAAATAGCACTTAAAGCACCTACTAGGGTCTACATTTAACTCTGAGAAAGGTTTTGTTTGACTTTACACTATGTATATTTGATTTTGAATTTGCCTACCTTTGAGCAGGACTTTGAACCTTCTGTTCTTCATTCTCCTTTGTCTTGAAGCTACCTGTCTGTTCTGTGTTTGGGTCATTTGTAACCCTGAAGGCATTTACATTTATAAACCTTGATCTTTGGGAATATATTGTCTGTACTTTATGCTTTTAAGGTGAATTGAATATTATTTCTCACATATGAACCTGTGATTAAAAACTTGATAGCAAAGACCTTCTGGGTTATACATTTTGGCTCACATGTATAGATTCACATAGATGGACTACCTACCTAGTGTAGCATTGGAGGGCATCCTTTTATGAAAGCTGAAATTGGATAGTCATTTTACTTCATCAGAGACAAAGGGAGGCCAGTGTTTTCTTCAGAAAACAGTTCTACATCCACTTTAACATAGATAAATAGATGAGCCAGATCCCAAAGTTTAGTGATAATCTACACTAAAGATGCACTTATCCAAAGAAATTTTTAATCTGTAGAATTTTTTTTTTTTTTTTAATATTAGAATAATGGGCTGAGTATGTAGCTCAGTGGTAGAGTGCTTGCCTAGCATACATGGGCTAGGTCCTGGGTTCTATTCCCAGTACTGGGGGCGAAAATTAGAATAATTCTTTTAATTTAAGCATTTTGTTTTTTAAAGTCCTCCAAGTTAAATTTAGTTATAAAATGAATCTCCATGTAACTGAATGATTTTGACTTGTCTTATAGCATTGTTGCATTAAAATTAATTGTTAGAAAAAATAGTGATTATATTAGTCTAGTTTCTTAAGTAATTTTTAGGAAATAAGTTGCAGATTTCATTATCTACTTAGAGAAACTGCTTCTTCTACTATCCTCAATATCAGGGTGCTTCATCACCTACAGTTATCTAATCTATAAGACATATGGTACGAATTTAAAACAAACCAGGTGGGCTGGGGATGTAGCTCTCATTAATAGATTGCTTGCCTAGCAAGTATAAGGCCCTGGGTTTGATTCACAGCACTACCAACAACAACAACAAAAAAAATTCTCAAAAAGAATCAGATTCAAACCTTTGTGTTCTATTACATAGAAATGAAGTGGCAATTTTTATCATATCATTGTTGGTATTATAGACTGTGTGCTGATGTGTATTTTAAGGAACATGGTCTACTGCTTAGAGTCATAGGAATTTTTATTAATTTATATTTTTAAAAAAATTACACTAGGAAAGAGAGCTTGAAGCAAACAAAAAAGAAAAGGTGAAAGAAGCTCAACTTGAAGCTGAAGTGAAATTATTGAGAAAAGAGAATGAGGCCCTTCGTAGACATATAGCCGTTCTCCAGGCTGAAGTTTATGGGGCAAGATTGGCTGCCAAATACTTGGATAAGGAACTGGCAGGAAGGTGTGTAAAAAAATGGGCATACTTGTATTCTTAAGTGACACATTGGATATTTAATGAGACTGACTCTACTTGTTATAAATGAAATAATTTTTATCCCTAGAATTATTTTGTAGTTGTTTATGTCTTATTATTGTTAAATTGATATCGATAATATTATATATTGCATGTATGTTTAAGCATACATACAGATACATTAACACAGACAGTAATAGTCAGCTTTTTGTCCTGTGACCAAAATACCCGACAAGAAGAAACTAGAGGAGAAAAAGTTTATTTTGGACTCAGTTTCAGAGGTTTCAGTCCATGGTTGATTGGCTCGATTGCTCTAGGCTCAAGGTGAGGCAGAACATGATAGAAGGGGCCTGGCAGAGGAAAACTGCTTAATTCATGGCAGCCAGAAAGAGAGCTGGGGGTGAGTGTGAGAGGAGCTTCCCTCCAGTGACCTACTTCCTCCAGCCATGCCATACCTTTTTACAGTTATAATAATCCATTCAGGTGATTAACCCATCAGATCAGTCTACTGATTAGATTATAGTTCTCATGATCCTTTCAGTTCTGGACATTGATGTATTGCCTGACATGAGCTTTTGGGGGGACACCTCATGTTCAAACCATAATACAACTTATTGTGAAATGCTGACAACTTTGCGGAGGATCATATTCCATCTACTTCCTGCTTTGACAACATAGCAGGTGATGTTCACATTGCCCCCTCAAAAAATAAAAAAAATAAAAGAAATAAAAAAGTTGGAATTATCATTAAAAAATTAATTCCTCTGCCATTAATTTTTGAAGGTAAATCATTTATGACCTTTGGTGATTTATTATTAGTACTAAGTCCTTTTATACTTATTATTTTAATGTTACATTGAGAACTGATGTGAAGCATTGAAAAAGAATTTCTATCTTAAATTTTTTTTTTTTTTGTAGTTGTAGATGGTCAGAATGTCTTTATTTTATTTGTTCATTTTTGTGGATTGAACCCAGTGCCTCACACATGCTAGGTAAACACTCTACCACTGAGCTACAGCCCCAGCCCAATTTCTGTCATCTTGAAATACAAATTTTCTAATAACTTTTTACCATATTTAAAGTATTCATTTTGTTGGAAGAAACTATCATTAAAAGGAATTTTTCATACAGTCAGTGTCATCTAAAAGCTAATATTTAATACTGTTTAGTTGAGTTCAGTTAGTTACTTTGATTATATGCAAGGCATAAAACATTTTATTTGACATTAAAAGCATAAATTGTTTTTTAGATATTTTGAATTAAGTATATGACTAAAGGAATTTTCTCTCTCTGCTTTTTTTTTCTTGGTCTTTTGGTACCAGGGATTGAACCCAGGGGTGTTCAGCCACCACTGAGTCACATCCACAGCCCATTTTTTACTTTTTATTTTGAGACAGGATCTCACTAAGTTACTCAGGGCCTCGCTAAGTTGCTGAGGCTGGCTTTGAACTTGTGATCCGCCTGCCTCAGCCTCCTGAGCTGGAATTACAGGTGTACATCACCATGCCTGGCTATTCATCTCTTCAAAAAAATTTTTTTTCCACTATTTTTTTCTTCTTCTTGAAAATGAATGTCCTTTTCAGAGTTTTCATATCTTTATAAACCTGAATGACATCAAGAAATTCCTGAGTATTTGTTTTGTTATCAGTTGAGATTTATGCAAAAGCTACTTGTGTTCAGTAATTCTTCTGAATCTCTCTAGTAAGTATAATAAAAGACTAACTAAACTCTTTTCTCAACATGAAGGGTCCAACAAATACAGTTACTAGGACGAGATATGAAAGGACCTGCTCATGATAAACTGTGGAACCAATTAGAAGCTGAAATACATTTGCATCGTCACAAAACTGTTATCAGAGCCTGTAGAGGACGTAATGACTTGAAACGACCCATGCAAGCACCACCAGGCCATGTACGTTACTTTGCTACTGCTTCCCACACAACCTGTGCCTTGCTCTAATCACAAGTCTTTTCTGTTTTTCTAGTAGTTTGAAACCTTTATTTAAAGAGTGAAAATGGTATTCAACATATTTAAAATAGATGCATATTTAAAGTTTTGGTAACCCAGAGAATTTTTTTTGGATATATATACTATAAAATAGTGGATATAATATTATGGTATTGTGACCACTTAATTCAGTCAGTTCTTAACAGAGTAACTAAATGCCCTGAGAGTGATCTCTCTGCAGATTGTGAGCCATTGCTAGCAAACATATTTTGCACTAGTGCTAAGGGCCTTTACCAAGTAGGTATGACGCATCGTAAT